TGTTGAATGTGAATAAATATATTCGTGAATAATAATAACAACATTAAATGTGAATGAATATAAACTTTGTGAATTTTGCACCATTTCGCCAACCATACTGTAGTTGTTGGAGAGATATTTTGAGTAAAGATCTCAGTCAGATTTCGCCGTCCCCGATTTAATTTTTTTTTACCGCTTGTGGACCGATTAAGCATTAGGTTTCTTTGACGCTGATGTTGCCAAGGTATTTAACTGGTGTCAGACAGTGACCTTATTTCTTTCACTCAACTCTGCAGAAATTCATTCAAAAATTTTAGCTGTCGATTAGCCTGCGAACAGGCTCCCGGCGAGTCCTGTCCCCGCTCCGATCGCTTTGCTCTCCGAATTCTTCCGTTTCGCGCTCGCCGAAATTTTTTCCGTCCTCGCCGGGAGCCTGTTCGCAGGCTACCTGTCGATAACAATCCTGGTTTGTCAGAGTTGCAAGCCTATTAGCGTTGCTATTTACAAGTGACACTAACTGAATAAAACCAGTTAACATGCACGGACAGGAAAGTAGCTATAAAAGTGATGAAAAATTAGAAATAAACTGTAAGTCTGGTAAACTCTAAACAACAGTCTTTTAATGACCAATTGGGCAGAGTTAATGGCTTTTTAAGAAATTGTTGGCGACAGGCAAGTGTCAAGCTTTGCTATTTATAAACTCAGCGTTGATAGAGGTAAATGAACCGCCGTAAGGAGCTGATGTTTTTAGCATTCGCTCCTGGTAAGCAAAATTTACACATTCTGACCATAAAGGAACGCAAGATCAGCTAAGAGCAAGCTATGGTACAGTATCAAAATTCGAAGCAAGAAGAATTGTCAAAATTCAGTTTAACAATTAGATTGTTCCTTTTAATCACACATAGACACTTCGAAAACGCAAAGAAGCGACCTCCATTTCAATTTCAACAACCGCACACTGTTGAGCTTCTCACTGTCTACATTAGAATAGATAGCGAGTGGCGATGCCAATACATGCACATAATGAGAGGAAGACATTCGTGATAGAACACACTAGAAGATTTATACTAAAAACAATAACACTGAGCAACGGTGGCGAGAGATAACTTACCAAGCAAGGTGCGAAGCAAAAGAGCGTGAAATGCCGATTTTATTTTCCCGTGAATTGTGAAAGGGTCAATTTGTTTTCCGTTAAACGTGATCTTAACCCTCCCCCCCCCCCCCCCCCCCCCCCCCCCCCNAACCCACCCCCACCCCCATTGCCACCCTCTTGTTATAAACCGCGCCATGGGACTCCGAAGGCCTGATATCAACCATCATCAAATGTGGCTTGTGAGGGATATGCCCTCATTATTTCACTGTAGTGTCAGAGCTGATTGCCATAGAAGTTAAATATCGCAACGTACCATTAACTGGCTTCGCAGGCTATAAACCTGGATGACTTCAATGGCGGAACGACAGCGTACCTGAAGTCTTCCAGACCAGAAACAGATGGCTGGCAACATACTTGATATGCATGGTATATATCAGGATGGTAACCTAAAGTGATAACGCTCTAATCCAGAACTGCGACCTATACCTCAATTCTATGTGAAAACGAGCCCTGCTTTTTTTTAGTGGGATTCACTCTGCAAGACATCATTTGTGAAGCTCATTTGTAGTTCAGTTGCAGAAGAGGCTTGCCACTGCATGCATCATGAAAATTGGTTGTATCCACACAATCAGCGATAACTTGGGGACATTTAAACCAGCTGAAACTGCAGAAATTTCTTCTGAAGCACAAGGTAAAGTGGAGATTTAGTTTGAAGCAAGGCCTGTAAAGTGGTTAGACGGGATTTTTTGGAGTGCATGGTTTTCTTGCATCAAGACGATTTTGACCTATGGAGAGCCTTAGACCGCTCGAGTGGAAACTAAATGTGTGTTGAATTCTGGTTTACACTTATACGTGTCTTCAGAGAATACAGCCAGGAATAGTTTGTTGTTTGTTGCCTTCCTGATTGATTTGTAGTCCCCAACGAAGTTTAGCAATGATGTTGAACATCTCAGGAGGAGAAAGAGTTATTAAACGACGTCATTGTTGTATCAGATTTGGAATTGAAGAAGACGAGAATGCGTGATGGAGCTGCGAGAGTTCTGTTAAACTGAATAAAGAAAGATGCCAAACATTCTTCACCCTTAGCCCATGGTGGCGACTTTGTCACTGAGATGAAAGGGAAAGGTTTACGGAGGAACGTAGGGTCACGAATCCAGGACACGATACTGAGTCCTGTAAGGAAGCCAAGGAACAAGCTGTCTCCAGCAGTTGACATGGAAAGCGTCTCGGGACACCTCTACAGAAACTGTTTTCGTTGGAAGTTCGTTAGGCTGGAAGTTGCAGATCATGGAGACTGCAACTACACGCGCTAGACCAGCCGCCCGCGCTTCTCGAAAGAGAGCGGAAACCACGACGGTAACGGCAACGAAAACGTTACGAAAAGCTGTACATGCGCTGTGTTAAATCGTTGTACATTTCTTTGTCGCTCTCCGCACAACTGACAACGTGAAATGACTAAGCTCTGCGTGTTTTGGAGAACACGAACGATGGCGACTAATTTTTCGTATTTTCGTTTGGAATTGAACGCTGGCGTGAAGTCAGTCTGAGACCAATAGGCGCAATGAACAGATCAAGAAATTTGAGAAGTTTGAAGGTAGAATATAAATTCATTTTTTACTAGACGTTTTCGTCGGGGTCGCTCTAATGTACACCGATCGCCCCAGGGTGGGAGTATTTGAAATATTTGAGCTTTGCGAATTATGAACTCAATTATGAGCAGCATGTTTTTGCCGCACGCGTATTTCCACGTGAGTTTATCATTTTAGCCAATCATGGCCCGGCGGAGGGTAAGGATACCGTTCAATTTTGTTACGTAATTTTCAGGATTTTAAACGTTCTGGATTTAGCCTGAGTTTTCGCTTTTAACGAACTTGGAATCTAGTCTCTTCGCCGTTGTCTTGCCTTGTAATTCGTAATTCAGCGTTGTTTGAAATGAAGTACTTGCTTTGCAATTAGCCATTACATGTACATATTAGAAATGTTTTTTTTTTTTTTTTTTTTTTTCCCAACGTTTTGGGATTTGACCCTACAAATCGCTGGGATACAAAGAAACTCCAAGGGGAATCACCCAGCCTTACTTTCTATCAGCCGTAGAATTTCGATATGTCTGATTCAAAATTGCATTTCCCCGCCAAGCAGACAAGTCCAAATTCACGGAAGTCCGCGAATACGAGGACGGGATGATAGATTAACCGCGGGGTATCCCCTAGAGGTCATCCTCTCCCCCTACCCCTCCCACTGGTTCCAGGCTTGTTCTTAGCATTTCATTTTCGCCGCTACGGTACGCTTCGAACGGTGCTTTTTCAGATCAGCTTGTCCGAGTTGTGGACATTACAAAACTTGCTTCCTCTGTGCGATGGCGTTGCTCTATCGAGGTGAATCACGATGGAAGATTCTAAAGCATCCTGTGTTCTGGATTAAGGTCATCGAGATTGTAAGTAAACCTTACACGAATTTCCTTCTCTTGGCCTAGGACCGGTGCACTTGCAAAAGGAATAACCATTGCATTTTCTTTGTTCAGGAGTCATTGCATAGCTGTAGCATTTGTTTGGTGTTTTATTTCGGGCTTTAGGAGCCATTACAGAAAGGCAGAACTCTCTTTACGGGTCCTAAGTGAACCCGCGTGCAGGTTTCCGCGCCAACAACAGCCATCAACAATAATAACTATATGAGCTAATTACATGCTTGGTAGAAGTGTACATCATTAGAAACTACTTGAGCTGAACGGCATCTCCTGCAGTTTTTATTCAACTGCTAACTGTAAAATAAAGATTTCCTTATAGAGCCCGTTTTGTACGATTGGAAACTCAACCTTACGGGACAAGTGTGAATTAAACCGGTAGCCAGCTGTAAAGTAACGGCAATGATTGACTCATTGTTTATTTTAATAAGTTTGTAGTGAACAGTTTTTATCCGATCTTGATAAGAAAATGACCTTTCTTGCAGTTTTGCTCAATAAAACGCTACATGCTACTAATTATAGAGAAGAAAATGTCCGTAAGCGGCAACTTAGTCGTCTTCTTCGTCTTCGTCATGGTCTCCACTTGAATGCGTGACCTTAACTAGGCTACCATCACGTAGCGAATTTAATTCTCGCGATAAGTCCACGGGATTATTTTTAGATTTCCACTGTCTTGCCCGAGCTTCTTGCAGTTAGTTGTTCCATGAGGTCAAAGCTGATTATTTATGAGACATTTTATTAGAATTTCGTTGCGCTTTGACGGAAAGAGAAAATTTTGCATAGTGTTTACTTTCGGTAAACCTGTCTTGACAGGCTTGAACAAGCAATTAATCTAGCGCAGTTATTTATTAATTTTGTGATTAGGCTATTAAGATTAAAATCCAAATTCAATGTGCCAACGTTTTTTTTTCAGTAATTCGTTTGGATTAATTTAGCGGCTTTAATCGTTGTTATTTTTATACAGTTTTTACAGTCCGTGTGCTGTGTTGAGATATTACTAACTCGACCTATGTAGATAGATATTAAGAACACTCAGCCTAGAATTGAACAGTTCAGTTGCCTTATTGTATTTACCTACCGGGCATAAACAGTTGTTTATTCACTTAGACACTTAATTCAATTCAGCACTTTTATTAACAACTATTTAAGCCTGCCACCAACTTTGTCAAAGGTCAGACCGGCCAACACACCCACTCCCCTAACCCTCCTCACCTTGTAGTAGGAACGGTAGTTTAACAGCATATATCTATGCCAACTCTCCCAGATTATCCAGGACTCTCTGGGATACAAACTGAATCTCCCAGTCTCCTGTACAGATTACTAAGTCTCCCCAATATGAAGGAGAATTGTCAAAGTACATCTTTCACACTTTGTTTTTTTTTTGACACATTTTTATAGTTTAAACAGTAGAGCTTTACTTTCATCACCCTTTTCTAGACTTCAACTTTTTTTTATGTTACCATTTCATTAACAGGAAGTGGCCTGCTTAAACACCTTTAGGAGTGTCTAGACACACATCAATTCACCTTTTTAACACTTTGTTAACTCCTAGGTATAAATAAAGTTGTTTCATCTGTCTCTTCACAGGTCCTCTGTATAATCATTGCCCCCTTATGCATCTCATACAGTGACAAGGCAGGAGTATATATCAGAAACAGCGACAAAAGTTTTAACATCACCGTCAAATACCCATTTGATTACAACAACAGAACTGTGGTGTTCACAGATGAAGATGAGCCACTCGATAGCTTCAACTTTGACCCAGCCATTCAAGTTTGTGTACGGCTGTTTGTTGCTGTTGTCATAGTAACAGGAATTACTGCAGCTGTGACATTGTTGATGTCGTGTGCAGTTCATAAAAATGAGCGTGTCGCCAACAAAGTTTCAATTGCAGTGAGTATGCAAATGTTTATTTTGTTGAAAAGTTGCCATCTCTTCTTGGTGGGCACCAGGAGTTTGTGATCCCTTGACACACAAAATTAATGTTAATAAGTAATACATGTATCACATTTACTTTTTAATTAATAGGAGATGTAGGTCCTGAATACTATATTCCAGACTTTGCAAGACAGCGAGACTAATTTATTTCCCTCAAGCCTGAGACTTTCTTAGCTTTGCAAAAGAAATCAAGACTGAGAAAGTGCTGTGAAAAAAGATGAGACAGCAAGACCTGAGAATTTTGGCTAAAATTCTGTGAGACTCCTTGAAGCACCATTGATCACCAGCAATAGATTTATTGAAAAATTCACACATATCAAGCCTTTTGTTACCCTCTCTAGAGGTGATGAGTTTAGTGTCGCATGATTAAATATCAACTTGAAAACATACCTTGACCATAAGGAACCTTAAACTAATTGTTTAATTTTGTAGAACAGCAATTTACAAATTAGGGGTTGAAAAAATTTTGCCCTGGGCAAGTTTTAGTTTACTTTTTCTTTACTTAGTTGGCAGACAACTTGTCCAGGCCCTCACCCACTGGGCAAGTGAGAATGAAAACTTACTTGCCCTGCAAGAAAATCTACTTGTCCCAGACGACCAGACAGCACTTTTTTCGAGCCCTGCAAATGATATGAAAACCTACTGTGTAGTTCCAGAAAACTCATCCCTCTGGAAATTCCAGTTGTGGTTCATACTTTCCTTTACAAATGTTGGCTTTTGAGATTCCCTCCCCCTTAGTATCTCTAATGACCCTCCTTGGGTATGTATGGCTATTGTCTGGAATAACCTCTTAAAAAGTGAGAATTATTTACTTCAAAGCTAGGTCGTGCAATTTGTTGATGATGTAGACAAGACACATTTGGGCTGAAACAAAACTTTTATTCATTACAAGTTGATGTTGTTGTTCCCCCTTAGTGAGGGAGGGACTGGGAAGAGAACAATCTTGTAATGAATTCGCCTGGAGCTATTGCACAGAGACTATTGAACACACGGAGACACATGCATGATCCACAGAATTACAGAATGCAATCAAAGTCAATAATTAACCTATTTGATTCGTGAATCAAACCTTTGAATGATTATGATGTGGTTGCTGAAAAACTGCATCTGCATGGACCCCTTTTTAAGAAAAGCGTCTTTGAGGTGGATAGTTTTAAGACTAACACTTCCCCAAGGAAGACACTATATTTTAAGGCTAACCCCTTTACAAGGCAGAAGGGGAAAAGGATTGGCAAATGCAAAATTACAGACTGCGAGATGGCAAGGTGGCCTTACTTAAGGCGTAGACACCTTTCTCAGGCTGACAACTCTGAGACTGTCACTTCTCAAAGGTGAAAACGTCCGTAATGTAGACACCTGCCTACTAAAGCAGACACCTCTCTAAGATAGACACCTGTCAAAGGTACATGCTTATCAAATGTGGACATGTCACCTCTCTTTAAGACAGACACTTCTTTAAAATAAAAAGGACAATTTGAACTAAGGTTGACATTTTGCTGACTTTGGGCAAACACCTCTCTGAAGAAACAGGTCTCTCAAGGAAGATGATCAGAGAAGTTATGAGCATATCTGTGTTTGAGGGAGTGCATGGAAAAGGCAGAACTATATATTCTAAGTTATTAATAATTGATTTCCATTTTTAGGAGATATTTGTGACTGTTGTGATGGCATTTCTACTTGTCATAAGCACTAGCCTGTGGCTGTATAACCTTCTTGACTTGAGGAAAGAGGTGGAAGATGAAGTTGTCAATGCTATCACATCTCTCGGGCCAGTAAGGTGCAAGGATTGTGTGGAATTCCTGCCAGATTATTCTGCACTATTTGCTTCAGTGGTAAGCTGTTAACAAGGCTCTAATAATTAATTAATTTAAGAAGTGGTGAGGACTAGTTTCATGAAGCAGACAGCTGACACTGAACTGAATGTTGAAGGCTCAAGCCTTTAGGGAGGTCTGGGGATATAAAGTCTGCATACGCGCCAAGTGGCCCATCAGGTCGGGGCTTATCTCCGGTTTCTGTAACATGAAGTGACTAGGAGTGTTTCTACTCCCCCCTGGATAGGATGCTAGTCCATTGCACGGTTACCCTCACCATTAAATTCGCCAATACCTACTTATACACCTGGGTGGAGAGAGGCACTGTGACAGTTAAGTGTCTTGCCCAAGAACACAACACGGCGTCCCCGGCCAGGGTTTAAACCCAGATTGCTTGATCTGGAGGCAAGTGTACTAACCATGAGGCCGCCATGCCTCTACATCTGGGGGTATGCTCCCTCAGAAAATTTTGAAATTGAGAGGCTCTGAATTGCTATTATACACATTCTCTTGGAGATCTTTTCTCAAGAAATCAATTTTGTTAAACTCCAAAATTCCAAGAATATTAAGGGATTACAAATACTTTTTTCAATTTTCATCCTACAGCACTAGTGTACAGCGCTGTTGTAGTTGAAAATGTACACCCCATCCTGGCCATGCCCTCTCTCTAGCTACAGCCTTGACGGTCCTCAGACAAAGACAGTCAAGGTTCAGTTAGTTAAAAAAAAAGTGTGTTTTGCCTAAATTACTCTTTACAATAGACCATATTCATATGCTCGGTATTGGACTGGAACTAGCTTGGAATGGAGGCTCATGCGAGGGAATATCATTAAAAAGAGATTAATGTCATTTGCATTTGAAAGGACTCCCCGCATTAGCCTCAGTTGCAAGCTCGTCCCATTCCAGTACCGGGAATACGAATATGGCCTATTAAATACACACATATTATTTTACGAAAAGTAGGTGGCTCAGAAATCGAAATAGCTGGTTTTTAGCTGGTAGCCAGCTCTTAATGGAAACCCTGTCCTGGATTATAGGCAGCTCTAGACTCCAATAAATTATTTCAAGTCTGGCAGTAATAGGCTGAGACTTGCATTTGCAATTTTCCAATTTCCCCTTAAAATGTGACCACCTGGTATTAGTGTCTGGGACACATTAAAAGGTTCTCAATCTAAACCTGAGAATAACAATTCTGCCATAGTTGTGAATGATTACCAAGTGGTCATGTAAATGACCTATTCTTCTTAAGCAAATGTACATTTATAGTAATAGAAGGATTTGTGTGGAAAAAAGAATGACTTCCTCTCTCCACAAAGTCCTTGAACTCAAAATTGGCAATTTAACAGTGCTGAAACATCTCTCTTTTCTATTTTCTATACATAACATGTTAGACAAAACTAGTAAAATTATTTAGATTGCACAGTACCTCTAAAGGCAGTAAACTCTTGTGTGAACACATTAGCCTTTTAGGAATCTGAGAATTGCCATAATTTTATTATCATATTCTCTTAATATACTAACAGTCAAGCCTCCTAGAAATGGACAATCTGTCTACTCACAGGATCTAAAAGATGTACAGCGGAACCCCATCTTTTAGCCACCCCGTTAATATGGCCACAATGTTATTAAGGCTCCTTTATTCTGGCCCAAACAAGGGCTCAGAGAGTCATTTTCCTATTTAAAGAACCCCTACAAAATGGCCACCCTGTTAATGGCCAGATTTTTGTGCCCCATTGGTGACTGGATTAACAGAGTTTGACTGTACGTTGCTGGGGCCATGACCAAGTGTGTGGTTATGGGAAATACATGTATCTAGCATCCACAAGAAACAAGCCTGCAAATAACAGTCAGTCATTGGACAATTGTCTGGAAAATTTGAGTTTTTGACAGGTAAAAGCTTTGCCTGGTCACACACTCTGACCGGCATTTCTGCTACAATGAAAAATGTTTTAACTGGAAATTTGTGGCTGAATATGGAACAAGTTATTTTATTGTACTGCCACACAATACTACGCAAAAAAGCCTTGTTATCAGTTTCATTTTGATTCCATCTCTCAAATGTCCTGTCAAATTGTAAACAAGCCACATCAGCACCACTTTTCCTATGTATTAATTTACTCATTTTGCAGTGGCATCGTGAAAGATCATGAATACCCATTTAGTCTGAATTATGTTCATCAGGAAAACTACTAAAATCTGAGGTCTTATATTTGTTATCTGCAAGTGTTGTGAAATAAATTTCAGTCGTAATTTGACCCAATTAAAATATTATCCAAATTGAATACACAGCCCAAATTCTCACATTTCATTTATCTGAATGCAATCACTCCAAAATGTAACCAAATGTTTTTTTAGTTCGTATGATCAAAAATCAGTTTTATAGCTCTTTTTGGTTTTTTTTTCAAACAAAGCTTCTGTACCACAAACATGTTTTTGTAAATGTACAAATTAGTCATGCTTTGTAGTATTCCAATTTCATCTAATTACGGAAATGTTTTTATTCAATTGACCCAGAAAAAGTCAAAGAATTCTTTTAAGCCAATTTTCAAGTGTCTGAATGTTATTGTGGGATTTTGTACTGACAAGCAATCGACATGGGGGATCGTTTCATCACTTTTCCAGTGGTTTTCCATAAATGTCATGGGAAACTTGATACACAGAAAAATACGGAATACACATGTGATCAAATACTTGTGTTTCACAATCTGCCAAAAAAAACATTTTGGCGAAGGGTCTACCCTGAAATACCAAAATGTCTCTTGTTTTTAATTTCTAATGACAAAAACAAATTTTTTGTTCAGCTAGACTGGACTTTTGTCAGGTCAAAACCCTTCTTCCTTGGCCTGACAAATGACCTGCTTATAGACAAAAATTATTTGCAGGCTTGAAGAAGGGTCAGTAAGGGAAGGTTTGACTGGTTTCAAAATATTCATAAATTTTTTTTTTACAATTCCTCACCAGGGCCTTGCTTACTTGCTGTTTTTGATATGGCTGTGCAACACAGTTCTGGTTTTCCGTGACACTGTGATGACTTCTGATGAAGTGAATGCTTCCAGTTCTTTAATCTGGGCTCAGGAGCTGTCAGAGAAAACTCCTGAAACTAGAACGAAAGAGACTAGTGCTTAGAAGAGAACAAGATATGAAAGTGGTCAAAGTAACTGTACTACTGGGCAAATAACCACCCAACCCCCCAACCCTCCAACTGCCCACCCCCCCCCAAAAAAAAACATGAAATATATTGTCTGCTTTCTGTCCCAAGAGGGAGAGAGGGTGTTAATGAAGAAAACCAATTATTGACTGGGACATGCTAATAAAGTTTTAATTAAATGCTCATTAAATGCTCTCTTGATTAGAGCAAAGAATTGTTTACAATTTTTTCATGCCCTTTATTTAAACTAGTTACACTGAATGTAAAAAAGGTTATAAATATGAACTTGGAAATTAATTGTGTCTGACATTATGGACAATCTCAATCCTACCCCTCCCCCACAGGTGTCTATAAGCACATGGCAAAACTCCCTTGCACCACGCTGTGAGTTCTTCCCATCCCTCCCTCTAGTTTCTATAACACCAACAAATTAGGTAATATTAATCCCATCTGCTAAATTTAGAAACAATTCATATTTCCATGGAATGCATCATCTTCTATAGTTTGATCAAAGGAAATTTGCACCCCTTTACAGTTACCACAAGTATGGCTGTTTGCCACCAGTACAGTAGGTTTGACCACTTCATTGAGGTGTTAAGCCATCGTTTGTATCTAACCCTTTCACTCTCAGCTAGTGCCACAGCTCAAAATTAAAAAGGAAATATTCCAATGTTGATTAGAGGTACTTTCCAATAGCTTTTAGTTGAATGGACATGTACTAGGTTTTCATCCACAGACTTAAAAGTCAGAACCACCTTACACAGTATGATAAACAGTAACCCAATGGTTCTGTTCAGTAGCTTTCATTTGAATAGCCGCACCTTAGGATTTGATTCATAGACGTCAAAGTTTGAACTGTATTGACCTCAAGGTTCAACCCCACTGGTAGTGAAAGGGTGAGGTCACATCAAAATAACTGTAGAAGCTGTGACAAACTAAGGAAAGTCCCCTAAATTTAACTAAAATGCACCCCTGTGACAAGAGAGAGTTAACTGAGTAGCTTATGCTGTTAGTTTGGTCATTCTCAATCCCTTTGAAACAATTTCTGTGAGTTTTCCAAGCTTCAATATGAAATTGATGTGACTTAAATGCTACATGCATACATAAGGTCTTCATTTCCTATAAATACATTTTACTTTTTTGGGATAATTATTTTGATCTTGAAGACAAGAAAATTTTAGATAATAGTTAAATGCATTTAAAATTTTTGCTACAGAATAGCCAGCATAGCCAGTAATATTTCAAGTAAACAGTTTGTTCACTTGGTTGATGTAACTAGTACATTAGATTAGGTAGCATATTTTAAAGTGTTTTATCTCAAAAATATATTTCTCCCAATTTATTATAATTATATTTCTTCATTGTTTGGGTTTCCATTATTAATAGTAAATATGTACATTTATGAGATTGTGTGACAAATTAAGCACTGTTTAAAGCTCTTGGAATGAAATATATTGAAATATTGATTGAAGTCAATCAAATGCAATTTAAGAACAATATGTTTTATATGAATATTAAAGAATCAATCTATTTTTTTAAAAAACCTTTTTAAGTGCTTCATAGCTTTATTTTGTAGCATTTTTGGAAAGTCAACTATAACATTAGTATTACTCAGGATTTCAGCAGGTTGACAACTGGTTTTCAAAGGCGGACCAAACTATTTGAACTGAACTTCTTTTTAAGAGAAACTTTTCATTGGAAGGTCAAACCAGGCAGGTAAAATCACCCTTGCAGTCAGTCAATTTTCCTGGTGCCCAGCCCTTAATGAAACCACTGATTTAGGGACACACGAAAAAGCAGCTGTTTGGTTAGAAGGATAAAGAACTGTGATCAACTGATATTTGGTTTCAATTTTCCTCTCCTCACCTGTGGCAACATCTTGGCTGTGAATAAGTAAATGTTCCCCACTAGTAGGCTTCAGGCAGGTATTACTAGCCTTCCCTAGGGGAAGGGAAAAGGGAACCCTAAACCCTAACCCTAACCCACTTCTCAGGGTTAAGTGTTACCCCTGACATAGACCCTAGGGCTAATCATAGAGACTGAACAAATTAACTGATTTCCCACCCAGGTGGGAGGGAATCTTAACAAATACAGACATCAGCCAACTTGAAAATTTCTCTTTCCCAACCCAAGGGTAAAATTATACTCAAACAATGTCCCTGTACATTTACTGTACGTATTTGTCGGTGAATCCCCTGGTCATCCCGGGGAAACCCCTGGGGAAATTGCTGTTCCTTGTATAAGACTTGAACTTACTCACAAATAAGTTAATCCATGAAAAAACCTAAGCTTCTGCAAACGATATTGAAGAAGGAATAAATAAAGATTGCCTGTACCCAAAGGCGGATCTAGGGGAGCCCCCCCCCCCCCCCCCCCCCC